AACTAAATGAGGATGTTTTATTATTTTGTAGATTAAACTTGAATGACAGAATAAACAATTATGAGTAGTTTTTTTTTTTTAATTAATTGAAAAATCACTGTTCGTTCGTTTTAAATCAAATCTCGAATTAAACATAAATAAAAAGAAAAATCAATCGAATTCAATTCGTTGTTTTTTTTGGATTTTAGTACACCAACTATTTCAACTCAGGATGAAAATTTAAGTATAAATAATTTTCGTTGTTTTGGTGATTTATCATTAATTAATTCTGATTCATCATTATTAACAAATACAAAATTTTCTTCATATATTTTATATCGTAGTAATCAAACAAATAATTGTACATTAATATGTTCATTAAATACAACAGAAAGTAGATATCAATGTATATTATGTTTAAATTCATTATATTATTTAACAAATAAATATAATGATTTATTTTTAATAAGAAATGGTTTAAGATTTATAAATGATGGTCAAAATCCACGTTATTTATTTCAAACAATAAATTATAAATGGTTATTAAAAACAAATTTAAATAATTTTATTGAATGGCAATTCTTAATTGAAAATTTAAAAAAAAATTCTATTACAAAATTTTATTCAAAAATTTTTACACATATGTCTTTTTGGTGGACAAGTGAAATATTTTCAAGTTATACAATTATGGAACAATTACGACAAGAACAATTTTTTTTAATTCCTATTAAATTTGTTATTATATTTGTTTTTTTAACTTTATTCACGGGAATTTTAGGAATATTTGTTACATTAACTACACTATTAAATTTTAGTACTTGTATAGCTATATTTACTTTATTAAATTATAAATTAACAATTGAAAATATATCTTATTTTGTTATTACACTTATTTTTTGTTCACAATATTCAATACTTTATTCAATTAGGTAATAGTTATTCTTTATTATATTAGTCAAAATTATGAGTACAGTCATGTATTCATAGAAATTCGATTCATTTTGTATTAAAATTTGACTTGTCATCAGATGTTTAGAGATGAGAATAAATAATTTTACTTTTTCCTCAGGATTGGAGATTTGGAAAAACATGAGAAAAAAAAAACTTGTCATAATTGGAGTTAAACATTAAATAAATTATTGTATAAATATCATATCAATCAAAACATATTTCACGTGTAATGACGAAGAAAAGTCTAAGTCGCTGACTAAAAAATAAAAAAGAGAAAAATGAGTATTAAAGAATTTTTTTTAGATATGACACGAATAAATTTTACAATCGTTTTCCCTAAAACAGGACTCCTACCAGAAAGACTAAAATTACCGAGGTCACTAGAAAAGAAGTTACTACTGGTCATTGCCAGTATGTCTTACACATTTCTTGGCTTTTTTTTATCTCATAGACAATGTGTAATGAAACTTGTTTGACAGTTGACTATATCATATACTATTATTTACAGTTGGGATAGTACAACACCTCATTAGTCTCGTATCGATATGGATTTCAGATTGGTTTCATTTCTCATTAACAAGACGGGGACCAAAAGGATTTGGTCCGACTCATCTCTAATCAGAATAAAGTTCGTCGCATATGGTACATATTTGTGATTCTTCCTGTATAATCAACATAGAAAAAATCTACGGTTAAAAGACATCTTTTGGTAACTGTTAAAATATCCTAGCAGAAATAAGTCTCACTCTCTATAAATATTTAAGAATATTTTTTCAACTGTGTGCATAATATCTATTATTTTCTATTTCACACAATTCGAGAATATTAGTTAATTAGATATCAAAATAACTCCTAGCCCCAAGTGTTACTAAATACTTATGTATTTGAAGGTGTTCGCACATATTTATATTTCAGTACTCAATGATTTAGATACTCTGAACGGGTTACAGGAATTTCGGCCCAGAATTTTTGGCCATCACCCTCACATCCTCACTTCATCCGGAAGATAGTTAGGCTCTGGGCCGAAATTCCGGTCTCTCCTCTGAACTTCCGACATTCGCTAGAATAGCAATCTAGAAAAAAAAAAAGAATGATCTCAAAATCCTATTTTAATCTATGTATTACATTTAACAGCAAAATTAAAAGCTTAGAAACGTTTCGCATATAATTGTAACTAATCCTCAATTTTCGAAAACATTCAAAATATATCTCTATAATAAATATTATAATAACATAGTTATTAACATGTATAATTCTTGCAAAATATGAGAATAGATTTTTTTTTATATATCAGCTCCTTCAAAGTTCGAGTCGAATCATAAAATTGTAATTTTTTTTTCAGTCTTTTTCAAATATTACTTGTTAATCGTATTTATAAATATTTAAATGAAAACAATCAATTCTAGAAAATACCTATCCTAAAATTTGATTATTTCAAAATTAAGTCTAATATTAATAATAACAACAAAAAAGATATTTTTTTCTTTTTTTTTTTTAAATATTTTTAGTTACAAATTAGCACCAACATTTTTTTTTCAACGTGAAAATCGTACAATGCATTCACTTAATCAATTATGTACTACATTATTTCAATATACACTTTCAATAATAATAATTTGTAGTCCATGTTTATTTTCTTCATTACCATATTTATCAAAATTAGCTATGATTTATATAATATCATCTTTAATTAGTTTTATTTATTCAACACTTTTTCTTCAATCACTTCTTTGTTTTTTTGGTCCAGCTGAACAATCATGTTTTCTTATTCGATGGCGTTTAACATTTTCGCGTAATTCAAATACACATACTTCTAATAATACTGATACATTATTACGAAATACATCGAATAGTGTTACACGACGACATCATCGTACATCAACATCATCTTATTTTGCTTCATCATATTTTTCACAAATATTTACAAATTCAACTTATTTTGAAAGTGAATATGGTGGTGTAAATGAAAACTTAACAATGTCATCACGACGACGTGAAAGTTCACGTAATCATTCAACATCATATTTAATAAAACGTGGTTCATTATTAACAGGAGAATTAATTGAATTATATACACCACGTGCTAGTCTTTCACCACATCCTCATAATTTTAGTTCTCATCGTCATACTAGACAATCATCAGTAGTACGTGGTATTCCATCATCTACACCAGTACGACCACTTTATGTATCTCCATCAATATCACCTTATTCACAATTAAGTATACATTCACAAGGTGCTATTCGACCACGTTCACCATCTCCACATATTGTTCGACCATCCCGATCACCATCTCCTCATATTGTTCAACCCTCACGATCACCATCACCACATTCATTTGTACCATCAACACCGATAACAGCAGGTGCTCTTCGACCATGTTATTCAGCACCTCGTCTACATGCACCAGTACATCGAACACAAACAACAAATATTAAACAAAATGATACACTTTTTGAAGAAACTCCTGAATCAATGGAAAAGCGAAAACAAAAAACGGTTACGATTATTCAACGACAAAATGCTGTATCATCAAAAGATGATATTGAACAATCATCAACGATCACAAATCCACAATTATCAGCTGCTGCACGACGAAGTATATTAAAAGAAACAGCAATTGAATCGGATGATGGGCCTGTTTGGCTTAAACGGTCAAATAGTAGTTAGATTTTATTAGTTATGACTATCAACCGTTAGATTATAAGTTTCATCAATTGTTTGTTTCTTTTTTTTCATATGAACATTATTCTAGTCGTAATCACATGTTGTTATTATTTCTGTGTGCGTGTGAATGATCATTTTTTATCAGATAATGATTAATTCATATACATATATATATATATATATATATATATATTGTGTAGGTGAAACATAGACATAATTTTCAATTTATTCATTTCAGAACGATTCTCTAAACTCTTTTTTTTTCCTATCTAGGTTAATATCATATATACGTTCTAGATGTGAGCATGTTATTTTGTTCCGTTTTTTTTTGTTTGCTTATTTGTACGGTCGTTTTTTTGCGAAAAACTGGGAAATAAAAAAAAATAATACTTTCTTAAATTCTTTTATACAATGACGTCATTCACAGTTCAAAGAAATCTTTACGCCTTAAGTCGATGCAGCAAGTTATTATTAACAATCCCCAGAGCGAATAGCGTCTATGAAATTTAATGAGTGAAACTATTTTATTTAAAAGTTCGCAAAGGACATTTAGATATATTTATCATAGATGTTGGCCTATTTATATCTGAATAGTGCGAATACTAAATATAGTAACTCGTAAATCCCATGTGTGTTTTATGTTTCAGGAAAAAAAGTATAATTGGTGAACTCGATTAAGAACTTTCGAATTTTGATGTCATCATATTTTTACTCTGCTTATTATTGAATAGATTATATTAGTAATGATATGATGAATGAAATTATTCAGCGATTTTTATATTTATTAAAATGACTATGTATTAGATTAGTAAAAATTTTGTATTTTACTGTTATCTTTTCTCGTGATGTACAATAGAAATTTCAATGTGACCTGTTCTCTAGTCATTAGTGAACATCATTATCAACTTTGAAAATCTTCATTAGCCTTTTTCATTGATAACCTATAATCTTTTCTTATAGGATCTAAAAGTAGATCTCATATAATTATTGAAATACTAATCCAAATTGATGTGTCATGAAAATTTTATAAATTTTCCCTGCTCTGTCTCTTTTGTGTCTCATTCATGGTACAAAGCATATTCCCCACTTATGTAGGCGTTTTTAGTATATCTTATTCATGTGACATCATGCAGATTATTTTTAGTTCGATATTTCAATAAATTATTCATTATGAATGAATCATATGAAACAATTGAATGATAACTTATATTCAAACATGATCACAAAGAAAAACAGCGTGTTACTATGCGATATCGTAATATATCTCGCATTCATATAAATATACTGGATTTATTGTTTTAACAATTCGCTTGACTATATCATAATATAAATACAGAATAAAATGAATCAATATTTTTTTGTAATTAAATTTTTATGAAAAATCAAAAAAAGAAAAAGAAAACTTATGCTTTTGTTGATGCAACGGCAGTCATCAATTGTTTGATGATGCTCATTAATGCAATAAAATCACGGAATTGAAGTGTACCATCATGATTTGAATCAATCATGTCAAACAATGTTTGACCTACATATTTACTAAGAAAACCAAGACCCATCTCTTCAAGCATTATCTGAACATCTTCAACTGTAATTTTTCTATCACCATTTTTATCTAATGTTTTCCACTAAATAAAAAATAAACAAGAACAAATATAGATGAATTGAAATAAATAAGATTGAAACTTACAAGAAAATACATTTGTTTAACATTTCCAAACATTCCAACTTTAGTTTCAACATTAGTAGAAGGTTTGATTTCATTTGAAACATCATAGCCATGTTCAGAGAGTACTTTTTCAGCAGCATTCAAATAACTATTTAATCGACCTTTAGAAGTGTTTGCTTTTCCAATTGGTTCATGCATATCTTTAGGTATTAAACTGTGTAACCACTCCGCTAAAGACTTTGGTGGTGGTTGTTCACCAAGACTTTTTGACCAATCGTTAAGCCAAGTTCCGAGATTACCAGTTACAACAGTATCATCACTAGAAGTATTGGTTGCTTTTGATGCAGTATTGTCCGTAGGAGGATGCATACCACTAGGTATCATTCCTTGCATCCAAGTGTTGAGATCTGTTGGTTGTTGTTTTTGTGATTCTTGTTGTTTAGGTAAAGGTGGTTGAATTGGATCATCTAAACGAGGTCTTAAACCATTAATCCAACCTTGAATATCAGTCGGTAATTGCTCTTGTTTTTGTTGTTGTTCTTCAGGTATTGTCGATTGAATAGGAGCATCCAAACGAGGTCGTAAACCTTTGATCCAATTATGAATACCCGTTGAGGGAACTATTTGATCATCATTATGGGCAATATTTCTATCAGACTGTTCGAATTCTTCCATTAATAATTCTTCTGTTTCTTGATGAAAATGCTTTACATATTCTGGAACATCAGAAATACCTGCATTAGCAAGCATACGATTAAGTACACCATTATTAATATCTTGTTGAGTTAGATTTGCTAATTTTTCCATTTGTTTATTAACAACACTATCGTATAAAACAATCGAGGTTGATATATATATACATATATATATGCTCGTGTGTGTATACTCGCCTACTTTATAGAGAAAGATAAGGAGTTGTGCATCATCACATTATCTGACGTCATGAAAGAGAAGAAAACGAACATAATATGACAGTCACTTAGTCAGAGTTTCGATGAATCACAATTCTATATTGTCTACGATGAATGTATTTTATTCATGAGAAAAAAATGCAATAACTACGTATAAAAGTTAAGTATTGTATGATTAAAGATATGATGAATAAAAAGAAAAAATATCAATGTTTAATTTTTGATCAAGAACATCTATTTCGGTATTCCACCAGATTGGCTGGTTAGTTTATTTAACAGAGTAACCAATGCCATGAGATCAGTAAAGTCAAGTGAACCATTATGATTTTGATCAACTGCTTGAAATAAAGCTTTAGATAAATCTAAATAAATAAAATAAACTAAAAATTAATTATAATAAATAAAAACATACATGGTGAAACAAAGCCAAGTCCCATTTCTTGAAGATAAATTTCTATATCTTCAGCTGTTATTTTTCCATCACCATTTTTATCGAATTGTTTATACAGAGCATACATTTTTTGAGCATTTTGATATGTTGAACCTAAATAAATAGTGTTTAAACATCGTAATTTTTTTGTTCAAATCTTTAGTTCTTTCATACTCATATTGTCGAGAAAACCACCACCACCGCCACCACTCTGGCCCTTATCACCTGAAAACATTTTATATGCTTTCATTGCACCTTGAATCATATCAAGATTATCATTTCCACTACTTTCGTCTTCACCATGACCACCACCACCACCACCACTAGTAAACTAAACAGGTGAAAATTATGATTATTTTAATAAAAAGAAAATCTCTTTTTTCGAATACTTTATTTAAGAGTGAACTTCCCATCGAGAATAGACTTGCTTTTTGAGTTGATACACTACGAATTGATGTATCTTCATCTTCATCTTCATCATTACCACTATGATGACGTTGATCGTCAGCTTCACGATTAGCTTCGGTTCGAAATTCTTTAACAAATGAACCAACATCATCAATACCTGCTTCTTCTAACATATTATTTAGCATTCCACTTTGAAGTTCTTCAGGACCAAAACGAGATATAGCCATTGTCTAAAATTTTAATCTGAAAATAAGAAGAACATGAAATAAGATGTATGTATTAATCCAAACAAAAACAACGTACACAAAAGAAAAACAGAACAAGCTAAAAAAAAACATCATGTTTATCTATATGCTGTTTTTTTTATTCTGTATTTATTTGCCGAAGCACATGATCTGAGTTATTTTTAAAGGTGCGACGTACCTTTTTTTTCTTTTTTGGGCTTTTACGTAGACTAAAGATGAAAATAAAAACAAAAATCAATAAGTATTCGTATCCTATGGAACCATTTGATATGATGTTATGCATTAGATGTATGTTTATTTGGAAGTTATTATTGAAGGAATGTGTCTGGAATGGATTTTATATTCAAAATGATTCATCAGACACATGCTTAAATATCATCCCATACTTAACCAATGATTTTCGATAAAAGAAAGAAAAACAAAACTGCGACAGAGCAAAATCATCTCAAACAACGTACAATGGTGAGTAGTCAATAATGATACGCATGTTTCAATTGACTAAGCAAATACTTTCATGTACGAATTTCATGTATTTCAATGAATGGAGATGATCACATGTTTAATCTCCGTCGCTTGCATAAAAACTTTTCAAATTTGCCATGAAATAATAATCGAATGTCATGTCATTTTTTTCTCAAACACAAAACTAAAAGAAATGTTGAAGTATAATCAGGCCACGATAGACATCAGGTAGAGAGCATTGATCTCATAGTTTCATTTCTGAATGATTATGTAAAAGAATTAGGTGAAATATGTTTCAAAAGAAATAAAATTAAACTGCCATCCTGTAACCAGCAGTAACAGCTATATCGTATTTAATGTTTTAATTTCGTAGGGATCTCACTAGTAGCTTGTTTACACAACCGTCTATTAAAATTAGATTATTTAAAGAAAAAAAACTTTTTTCAATTCAAGTATTTATTGATATAATACTTTTTCAATGTAGAATCCTATACATGTTTTGTCTTTTAATAATAAGAATATATAAACCGAAGATTGAATTATACATTTAATAAAAGTTAACATGTTGGTTTCTAATTTAATTTTTTAAAAAGAAAATTAAACAAATTATATCTTTTCTTATTTCTATTTACATTGTGAGACCACAAATCGTTGAAAAAATGCTTTTGTAAATAAGAGGATGATATTATGAGTTCTCTTTAAAAATTTGTTAAAGCATTCTGTAGTATTGTTTTACAAACTTTAAACGAATATCTTGATATGAAACCTAAGAATTCAGAAGAGAAAAATTCAAACATTTGCATAATGAAAATGTTTCATGATGTTATTTATATTCGAGTGTTGAGAGTAAATCAAAACTACAACACAAAATATATCGATCTCAAAGGAAACCGAAAACAAACTGGTGTATTGATAGTTGTAGGTTCTGAAAAGGACACAAAATTTGAGCTTAATTTTGATTATTCACAAAATATATACATGTAAATTTCATATTAATACCACGTTGTAGTTTTATTTCCTCAGCTAAGATTCTATGTTGAAAATTCTCAATCAAAACACATAGTTATAAATTGACAAGATAAATTTTATGTAAACATACTAATTGATCCTTATTTCTTTCTATTATAATTTGTATCTATAAAACATCTTCAATCAATGATAATTGTCACAATACCAAAATACATATATATGTTTATTGAATGGAATAGAGCACATATACATCTATTCAATATCTTTTATGACATAGAGATTATTTTTTTTTCAAATGTTACTAATCGAAGTACAAAAATATGTAAAGTATTAAAATGATTATTGATACAATTATAGTATCCAAATGGAATAACTTTAACTCAATGGTTCTAAGGTCAAGAAGAGAAACTACTTCCATTAGCTGCACAAAAACTCTTATCAACAGAATAGATACATTTATGATACAAACAAAAACATTCATATTCATAGTAAAAAAAAAATATATATAACTATTCATTTCAACAGAAAGATTTTTTTATGTCTATAAATAAGAAAAATATTTCTAAACAATACGCATTAAATACATATTTTTATACGAATTACTTGTTATTATGTATATATTACTATTCGCATTTGCCTTAGAATGCAAATAAGATATTTCAAGAAAAACACAGATATATATATGGGAAGAGTACAAATAATACAGATATAATCTCAATTATGTGTCAATGCTCAAGGGTATTTCGTAATTTTTTCAGAACTTTTTAAGAAATTTGAAGTATAATTGCTTTTAGAATCAGAATTTTCATGCAAAAAGATTATTTCTAAAGTTGTTTATTCTATACGAATTATCCGATACATACCATGTTTTGTTTTGTCAATCTTTTAACTTATGAATCAATCTTATTGAAATATCTTCGTGGAAAATTCTATTCACTATATACTTGACATACTTCTAAATGATTTAAAAAAATGTATTCGATCTTTACTTAATCCTCTTAATTCTTACATGAAAATCTTCGACGATGAGACATCATTTATTTTGTTGTCATTGATGAAATTTGATGATTCAGATTACTGAATGATTAGGTGAAAAATGAGTACACCTACTTGTAGAGTAGCATAAAAATTTGTTTTTCATGCTTCAATGCAGTTTTTAATTTGTAGTAGTAAATGATTCATTGAGATACCTGTTTTGTACAAACGTATCATTGGATATTCGATTCTCCTATGAGAAAAAGCTACGTAATAGGTTTACAGGTTTAGTTTTATGTTCAAAACACATACCAAGGAGAACAATGTCAATATTTGATATTGAAAAACCGAGAATGGATTGATTATAATAGTGTACTCAGGAGATCGTGGGTAATAGAAGAGTGTCCTATGATCTTAGCAGAGATCCATATAATATAATGTCGATGGTTGTAATTGATACGTTTTTCTTTCTTTTTATGGTAGGGTGACATCCGGTCTAGCTGACCCTTAATTGACAACACAAGAAAACACTTTTTTTGTTTCAAATATTATTATTAATCTGCTGTAAGAAAAAAAAGTTGTCAACTATTTCGGGAATAGATAAATGGCTATCATCATTGCCAAAGCAATGCAATAATCCATTCTCATAGTATAGTTGTATAATAAACTTATATCATTCTTTGAAATAGATACTTATAAATAAATAAAAGAAAAACAGAACACATAATTATTACAATGACAAATTAGTTTCATATAAGAATATGTTTGTGAAGTGAAGTGCTCGTATTTTTATGCTTCTTCACTATGCATTTTATGGTAAATGTTTTGCAAAGTTTATAAGAAAAACAATTTCGTTGGCATTGAGACATATATGCAATACTAATTGTGATTAAATTTTAATTATTTAATCTTTTGCTTTGTAAATAACATTGTGAAACTTTTGTTTAGTGATGAAAAAAAAAGAATCATGAAAAATACAGATTACAATTAAATGTTTAATAAATTTTTCATAGACTCAAGTGAAATCCTACAGCGTACTGGTGTAAACAAAAATGTAACAAAAATTGAATGAAGTACAAAATGAATTTCATAATATAATCAAGGTTTATTTTTGGGTTTCAAATAAGAATGTAAAAAAAAAACATCTTATGGATTATATCAAGTGTATAAAAAAAAAGTGATACAATACAGAGAAACTGATAGTACACATTACACAAACATCTATTCGAATGATACAATTCAATCAATTTATTCATAGATATATATATAGGATAAAAGAACTTTGTTTTATTTTTGTTTCATTTTATGAATTCTTCGATTATCCTCTACATCCATTACAGATCGTTTTGCCCTAACAGATTGGATTTTATTCATTCTTGGTCGCCATTTTTTTGGACAAGCAAACCTGGCATGAAGTCGTTGATTAAAATCATTCGATACCAAATCTAATAAGATATATTTAAAAATTTCAAAAAAAAAAATCAAAATTGTATTACTAACAAGTTCTGCATTCATCTTCTGTTAACGTTCCGAGTATTAAATGTCCATCAGTCATCATTACAACCAAGACAATCATAATAATTAGTCGAAAGTGAAACCACATTGTTATCTATTAAATACAAACACTATACACTCAATAAATACTACAAAAAGTATCAAAAACTTTACCTGATTCAATGTAATACTTATCGTTGTTAGTCTGTATAATACACTAATTTGAATAGAGTTAGTGCATTATTTATATTTCATGCTAAACGTGACCGTTAATACATAGTGCAAATGCCATTGCTTTCCACATAGAACTTAAAGAGTATGCCCTATTAAACAATGTTCTTATAAAATCCAAAGAACTTGAAAAAAAAATAATTTTTTGATGTGCAACTATTTTCTTACACTTATTCAGTATACTGGCTGGAATGAAACGTGCAGACATTTGTCTGATAAAACTATGAAAGAAAAATATGATAAGGACACTCCCTTTGTTTATCACATGATTTTATGAATGATCGTTGCTATATGATTATGTCAGTAATCATATGGAAGGATCATTTTAGAAAATGATATTGCTCTGTTAGCACCTTTATTTGACTTTTTTCAATTTGTTATTCTATTATTTGTTAAAAGTATATTTCTTTATTAATATTCATAGGAGCGTTCCGAGTAGGAGATGATTGTTCACAAATTTGAATAATTTTCGTTTCTCCCAACGGAGTGCCAGCGTTTCATTGTTTTTTTTTGCTCATCAATTGTCAAAAAACACACGACACTATCACAAACTTCAGTCACCTTTAACAAAAAGCTCTTATTCGGCCACCTGATCCATTGCCTCGTGATTCAAATCTGGAGGGCTTGTGACATCGTTGCATACTCACAACCGATAAAAAATAATCGTTGGTTAGTCATAAGAGATATATCAAGTATAATGAATAGGATTCTATTGCCGAAGTTATTCACAAATATACATAATACTGATGAGAGGAATTCATCTGAAAAGGATTCTATAAATCTGATAATAAAACAAATCAATCAATACCTTTATTGGAAAATAATTACATTTCAGTTTTGTATTCTTCTTC